AGCTAATGCAGAGCTTGTGGGGCTAGGGAATGCATTGTTGGTTGAAGGTTTGTCCGCTAACCTTCTTTATGTGCGCCGGCTGTAGAAGAGCAAGGCCAAAGTGAGCTTCGGCCCAACCAGCTGCCGTGCAAAGCTTGGGAAGTTGCTGCTGTGGGATTTGGAGGAGAAGAGCAGCTGTATCAAGGACCTGTGGTAGCTGCCCATCATCCCTTGGAATGGGAAACCACCAGCAACGGCAATGGCAGCGGCAGCGGCTAAAGAAACCGCGGGAGGAGAGGAGACTGCACCAAATGCTGGGGCCTGGATGCAGTCAAGAAGGTGCAGCAGCTACAGCAACCACATGGTGAGGTGCTTGCTGGCGTGGATGCGACAGCTGCATGGGTACAGGCTTCATCAGGGAGTGGTGAGGCCGATTGGGAGACGTGGCATGAGAGGTTGTGCCACATCAACATTCCAATGCTGCAGAAGTTGGTGAAGGATGGGAGCTTGAAGGGGCTGAAGGTGAAGGGGGAAGCAAAGGAGATTGGGAGCTGCCCAACATGCCTTGAGACCAAGTTCACAAAGTTTCCCTTCAGCGGCAGCACGGGACCAGTCAAGGCCCCGCTCGCGCTTGTGCAGATGGACGTGGTGGGCCCTACGAGGTCCCCTTCTCTTTCGGGCAGCCACTTAAACCTTGACCATCGTGGACGACCACACGCGTGCAGGGTGGGTGTACCCTCTCAAGACTAAGGGGGAGGTGGCAGCGGCTGTTCTTAAGGAGTAGATGCCGAGAGCACAAAGGGAGAGCGGACACAAAGTGAAAGTGATCCGCACCGACAATGGAGGGGAGTTCGTTGGCAATGAGTTTGAGGCGGTGTTGAAGAAGAAGGGCATTCAGCATCACATCAAAGTGCCCTACAACTCTCAGCAGAACATCGTAGCTAAGTGGTTCAACCGGACCTTGCAAGAAGGTGCTCGCACTCTCCTAGGGCGTGCAGGGCTGCCGGATCCATTCTGGGTGACTGCACTACGGCAGGTTGCCTTGTGAAGAACAGGGTTCTCGCGACTGTGGGGGACAAGCTTTGGGTCCCGTGCACCAAGTGGTATGGGAGTGCACCAGTAGTTAACATGCTGAGAGCCTACGGCTGCATGGTGGAGTTTCATGTGCCGAAGGAGAAGAGGGGAAAGCTGGAAGCTTCTGGGAGATGGGGTGTGCACTTAGGGCTTGCGAAGGACCACAAGGGCTGGCTGCTATGGGCTTGACCAGCCAGCAGCTGACTGTGTCGAGGGATGTAAAGTTCCTCGAGTTCTTGTACTATAAGGAGTGGAAGTAGCAACAGCAAAAGCTTCCTTCGACACCGCTGATCGTCGAGGCCGATGAGGTGCAGCGGCCTTCGAGGCAAGTGGAGGTTTCTGTCTCTGAGGATGAGATATCTGGGGTGACTGAGGATGGGGGAGAACCTGAGGTGGAGGAGCAGCAGCAGCAGCCGCAGTAGCAGCAAGGTGCTCCACAAGGTGCCGCACGTCCGACTCACCCTCCTAGGAGGGATGCCCTCCTAACAGGCTGACGTATCCCAGTTTTGGAAAGCCAAAGGTGGTACATGCTGGGAGTGTGGCTGAGCAGCGTGATGAGGACGAGATTGTGCACTGCTATTGAGCTGCCGTCCCTGAGCTCAAGACTCTTGCCGAGGCATTGAGCGGGCCCGATGCTGAAAAGTGGAAGCAGAGTGTGAAGGAGGAGTATGACTCTCTGCTGGAGAATGAGACGTGGGAGCTGTGTGAGCTACCTTCTGGGAAAAAGGCCATTTCTTCCAAGCTGATTTTCAGGCATAAGTGCGGACCTGATGGGGCGCTGACCCGCTACAAGTCAAGGCTTGTGGCTAAGGGGTTTCAGCAGACAAAGGGGAAGGATTATGACGAGATCTTTGCTCCTGTGGGGAAAGGCACAACATTGAAAGTGTCACTGGCAATGGCAGCAAACCGTGGATGGCGGGTGAAGCAGATGGACATCACCACCGCCTTCCTCAATGGGATCATTCTAGAGGAGCTGTACATGTTACAACCTAAGGGATTGGATGATGGGAGCAGCAGGGTGTGCAGGCTGAAGAAGGCCATCTATGGCTTGAAGCAGGCTCCTCGTGCATGGTACCACATGCTGGAGGAGACACTGCTGGCTGGGGGGTTCAAGAAGAGTGAGTGCGACCACAGCCTATTCCTGCTGCAAGAGAAGGAGCAGTTTCTCATGCTCCTGGTGTATGTGTACGACATCCTGCTCTTCTCTGGGTCGTCTACAACGATTGACCGTGTGGAGGAGATGCTAGAGATGCAGTTCAAGTGCTCGAAGATGGGAGATGTGAAGTACTACCTGGGGATGCATGTGGAGAGAGACCTTGACAAGGGAGTGTTGAGGTTGCACCAGAGGAAGTACTGTGAGTGGCTGGCTGAGAATTATGGGCTGCACGATGGAGGAAAGCCAGCAACCCCACTGCCTTCGGGGCTCACTGTTGAGCCATGTGCTGATGAGGAGGTGGTGGGTGAGAATGACAGAAAGTTGTTTCATTCCATGGTGGGGGCACTCAACTATGCGGCTAACCACACACGGCCTGATATTGCCTTAGCTACATATAGGCTTGCCAGTGTGGTCTCCCGCCCCAGTCATGAGCAGCTGGAAGCGGCCAAGAGGTTGGTCCGCTATGTGAGCACTACAGCATCGGTGAGCTTGGAATACAGTGCTGTGCGTCAGAGGCTGCAGAGGGGTGCAGCTGATTTGAGCAAGGGGGAGATGCTCTTCACCTGTTACACTGACGCTAGCTTCAACTCTGTGAAGATGGATGGCATCAGCATTGGAGGCTATGTGTGTCTGTTTGGAGGTGGTACAATGAGCTGGCGCAGCAAGAAGCCAAACAAGGTGGGGCTGTCCTCGTGTGAGACAGAGTACATGGCCCTGCATCATGGGGCTAAGGAGGTGGTGTGGCTGAGGCGTTTGTTGGAGGAGATCAGAGTGTGCCAGGAGGAGCCAACTGTGAATTTCTGTGACAATAAGTCGGCTGTGAAGCTAGCAAACAATACTTGTCTTCATCGCCTGACAAAGCACATCAGGCCAAAGTGGCATTGGACGAGGAGGCTCCTGGAGAAGGAGGTGTAGCTAAAGATTGTGAAGACCCATCAGCAGGCGGCTGACATTCTCACCAAGCGCCTGGCTGAACCTGAGCATTGGAAGGGCATGAAGCTTGTTGGAATGAGTGTGCATTGAGGGTGCATGCTTGAGCCTAGGCATGTGGGATGATGGTTGGCAGCCAGAGGGGGAGTTTGTTATGTGATGCTATCATTTGCATTCACGTCTGTCTGCCTTTCATCATATGTTCGTGTGCTACATGTGTGGTGTGAGCGTGTGCAAGAATTTGTGTTTGGTGTGGTTTGGATTTCCTGAGTGTGTGTGAATGCTATTTGGCTTGAGCAGATATCTAAAGTGACTCCTCTGCTCATGAGCTTTTCGACGAAGCAAGGATCACTGCGATCGGAGCAAGAACAAGAAAGTTATGGTCGTTCGAAGTTTTGTTTGTGATGCGACGACTTTGGAAAGTTGTGAAGTGACTCAATATGGGGTACAGACTTTTGGGGGTTCGGAAATTCGTCCCCATCACTGTAGATGCTGCCAAGTGGTTGGGAGAAACCAAATTGGGTTGGCAAGTGTAGCCAACTTGGGTGAGATGGATTGTGGAGGTTGGGAAAGTGACAAAAGTAAAAGTGGGGTTGCTATAGGGAGGGGATTTTATGTGCTTATGGGGTTTCCTTGGGACTCCTTGGGGACCTTCCCTCTCGTCCTCTTCTCCCCTCCTACCTGGTTTCTAGCTACTCCAACTTTCTTGTGTGGTAATTGTGAGACAATTGTTATTAAGTTTCTGTGGCATCATACCCCCTAGTGCGCCGAAATTGATATCTCAAGAAATACTTCACCTTTTTATACGATTCAAATTGGGAATTGTAGCCAAGGACAAGAGCTACAACATATCTGAAATTGGTAAAGTTTCAATGGTGCAATTATCGTCGACAACGTTTCTTATGAAGTCGACATTTTTGTCTAGAATTCTAGCCCAACGATTTTGTGATATTTCGGCCCCTAATCTTCATAGACTCCGTCCTTAGTCTCTAAAAAATGGGTGACTGGATACGAGCTATATAGCAGAAACAAGGTAGAGCTGGAGAAAGGAAGAGAAGAGCTCCATTCCTTACCTATCCAAGGGATTGGATTCGGATGGTCACTAGATCTGGCGAGAGAGATGCCTTTGAGCCGAAGGTGGAAGCGGTAATCTTAATCGTGATTGAGCATGGGAGCAAGTGGTTAGAGGTAAAGGCATTGCTTAGTAAAGGTCCTAGGACCTTGTTGTGGGGCTCATTCTTTGTTCTGTTCTCGGCATTCCTTCTCCTATCCCAGCGGCTTGCGCTGGCCGCCGAAGGCGGCCGACGCCCAAGAGTGCGGCCTTCGGCTGCGCGTTAGGGGTGACAAGGGCACAAAGACTGCTAGCCCTATAGGAGCATAAATTACAACATGAGGCAGTAGCAACAAACTGCAACAACAACACCCTCGGGCGTGCTCACACCACCATATGGAAGCCCAAGCCCAAGCCGGGAAACACACCGGCGGGCAAGGGGAGAGGGGCCGCTACTCGGCCAGGATCCAACAAAGCTGCCCGTCCATCCAGCGTAGGACGGAGGCGGCAGCTGGAACGATGTCCCGCGGTGCTTGCAGGGCGGCAAGGGCGAGCCACCTTAACGAGGCCAGGCCTGGGCCCAGGGCGGAGTTAAGGGTGCCTGGCACTAGTCCGATCGCGGGCAGCATCCGAAGCATCTCCATCGCCTCCGCCGCAGCTTCCTCCTGCTCCCGGTGTGACATTGTCGGGGGCACATCTCTAGGACGCGACAACAGCAGCTGATAGGCATGCAGCTGGTCTAGGACCATCGCCAACAGGGTCAGGCAAGTCCCCACGTGGCCAACGCGCTGCTCGACGCGAAGAGCTCGCTCAATGGAGGGGGACTTCCCCCACAGACTCCAACGGTGCTGCAGAGCCGGAGAATGAGGTGCGTCCTGTGTGGCAGGCGGCAATGACTCCCATGGGAAGTCCTCAAGGCACGGAGGGTGGCTCGGTGACGGCATCTCTTCCAGGGATGGTGGCACAGAGGTTTCCAAATCGACACGAGGAGGAGGTGACGACGAGTGAGGCTGAAGTGGGGATTGGAGTGAAATTGAGTTTTGTTGTCGTGAATTCCGCTGCCGCTGTCGACGACTCAACCTCACCCTTTGCCACTACCCTGGCGGCAGCCGTGCTTGCTGAGGAGCGGGGACCGGAGGTGAAGTTGGGACAAGAGGAGGAGACGGCGAGGGTTGCACCATTGGCTCCGGTGGCTGGGGAGGCAGTCGAGACGACGTTGACAAGAAATGGGGTGATCGAGACGATGACGAGGCCGGGGGCACCTGCTACGCGACACGGGGAACATGGCGTGGCGGACAAGGTTGTCGCTGCGTGCGCTAGAACGCCTGCTGCTGCCGAGGCCGAAGGGCCGCAGAGGCACGCCCAGGAGGAGGGTGGTACACCGCCCCCCGAGACCCGCAACGCCTTTCCTGCCGCCCGCGGGACGACCGCGAGGCTCCGCGCCCGACCAGCACCGCGGCGGCTTGGAGCATCGCTGACGCCTGGCCGGCCGGGACCACTCCTGGGCTGGCTCCAGCAAGTGCCGTCGCCATAAGCAGAAGGGCTTCCATCGTCATCCGCTTCACGTTCTGCTCCAAGGGCAAACGAGGGAACCAGTGCGGACGGGACGCGTCAGGAAAGGCCAGCAGCAGATCCAACACGACAAACGCAACACACAACGGGGCAAACACCTCCAGCCCAGCCCCCATCTCACCGTGAAACGCAGAGCGCGGCGCGCGGACGTGGAATCGTACGGGGTAGGCCGACGATCGCGGGACAGGCGGCAGCATCAACCCCTTAAATCCCGGTTGGCACAGCCTCACAGCCCGCACATGGCGGCAAGAGGCAGTGGGATTACAGGACCCCCTGCAGTGCCGCATGGGGGGAGAGGCGGAAGGGGTGCCAGTAGGGGGGGACGAGTCCCGCTGCTGGGGGGAGAGACGGCGATCGTACGATCGGGGACGTGGCGGGAGCGTCACAATCGCCCTGAACAAATACCTGCGCCAGCCAATAGGGATGAAGCTGCTTATGACGAATCACAGATCGGGAGTGAATTTATCCCGTCCGGATCAGAAGCATCAGAGGGGGTATTTCTGGGTGAAGATGAGAATCGCCATGCAGTGGGCAGGGGACAAGGGAGAAGGGCTAGAGATGGTGGTATGCCACAATCGGCCAACACGGGTTCAGGTGCAGCAGCGGAAGGGGCAGCACAGCCATCCGAAAAATCCCTCGCTGAGCTGGCAGAGGACGAGAGCATCTGGCATCTAGCCAGCACATGGGATGTTACACCACTCCAACGGATGGACCAGCCTTTCCTAGTCCGCGGAATGCCCCCGAAATTCCTAGAGGGTTACACGCTATGCCTCCTGGCGCCCCTTCTGTGTTTGGCTAAGAACCCTGACTGCTTGGGAGCTTGGACGGTGCTGCAGTTCCTACCACGTTTGACCCTCCGGCCCCTACCAGAGCCGGTGGAAGGGAACCGTTGGATCAAAATTGAGACACGGCTACATCACTTCAGGCTCGGGGACCTCGCAGACCTCTACAGTGAAGCCTGCGCCATACCCGTTACTTAAGCCCCGTCAAGACACCAACCAGATGACGCGGGCCTTTGTGCGAGGGCAGAAGGACTAATAAAAAAAGCGAACATCTCCAAAGTAGTGGCTGCGCTACAAGTGACCCCGCTAGCGGAAGCAACACCAACTACACTTGCAGTGATATGATCGAAACACCCCGTAGGCGAGACACCAATCCCAAGTTGGGTTACCAGCAGGGCTGGTTCCTCTGCATCATCAGTATCTGTGACTCCCGATGATGTCCGCGAAGTCCTCGCGAAATGACCGAATGGGGTAGGTGCTGGCTCGTCTGGCACCTGTTTCGAGCATCTCAAGGACCAAGCCCACTGTAGCGACGAAGTCCTGCTCCTCCTCACCCAGGTTATCCGCCAGCTACTCAACAGCGAGCAAACTCAGGCAGTATGAAACTTAATCATGCCGTCCGGCTTGATAGCACTAGAGAAGCCGGGAGGCGGCGTAAGGCCCATTGCGATCGGGGAGGCACTGCTTAGGGTAGCCGCTAAAGCGGCACTGCGCGAACTGGCACTGGCTATCTGCAGATTTTTTCTCCCCGTCCAGTACGGTGTTTCTGTACCAAGTGGAGCGGAGTGCATCATACGCACGGTCCATGCCCTACTTCACGAGAACGAGAACCACGTAGCCTTCCAGCTCGACGTAGAGAATGCTTTCAACTCGGTCGAGCGGGAGGCCTTCTTCTTGGCTTTACAGATTTCAGACCTGCATCAGCTACTGCCGCTCGTAGGAACGCTCTACGACTCGTCCTTACGACTCCTGGTTGACCCAGCCTTGGGCGTGGACCACATCATGAGCTCCAGAGGTGTGCGTCAAGGCGATCCACTCGGGCCGCTCCTATTTGCAGCAGCGATCCTGCCGATTCTAATGTGTGCTGCATCAACACACCCGGGAGCGGCCATCATAGCCTATGCCGACGACATCACTGTAGTGGGACTGCGCGGGATTGCATTTCAAGCCTTCGACGTTATCATTACGGAGCTCGCAAAGTTTGGACTCCACTGCAACATTGGGAAGTCATCGGCATGGGGACCAGGTGAGGGTGAAGAAGGACTTGCAGAGCTGCTGCACGGTCTAACAATGAGCACAGACAGTATCAAAGTGCTGGGCAGCCCGATTGGCACTCCAGCATACTGCACCACTCAGGTTTAGCAGGCGCTCACCAAGGCATCGGCTTCGGTCCCCTTGATCGTGCAACTCCACCCACAACACGCACTGCTCCTGCTCAGCCGCAGCATTTCACGCAGGATATCGTACCTGCTCCGGACGACCCCGAGCTGCACATTAGAGCGTGAGGAATGGAGGGCATGGAGCGATTCACTACTAGGCGCAGCGCTTACGGCGGGCAAACTCAGGATCCCCTCGAGTGAACTAGAACAGAGTCCCCTGTGGCGACAGGCAACCATGCCCATCCGCCTCGGGGGGTTGACCATCATCGACCCAATCCCCGAGGCCCCAGCAGCGTATATCGCCTCGCTGACAGCAGCTCATCACCTGCTGCAACAGATGAACCTACCTGATTCGGACCTACTGGCGCGCACAGTGACCTTACTCTCGTGGGATTGGGTCCCTCCACCCCGGCAGTGAACGTGATTGTGACGCTGGAGGAGGGGCTGCCGGTGGAGGCAAGATTAGCCCTGCAAGCCTACAGGGAGGGACCGTAGGAACAGGGTAACATGCAGCTGCTCCCCTCCAAGCACATCAACACGGCTAGGGCGAGGGAGCTGCTATCGGATACAATGGTTGACAGACCGGGAGAGGATCAGGGACATGGCGTCCGGCTAGTTAGTCTGAGAGGGGTGGGAGCCGGAGATTGGCTTCACGTAGTGCTGACGAGATCTGACCTTACATTTGCCCCTGGTCAGTTCTCGCAAGCAGTCGGCTTCCGCCTCGGGATGACTCTGCCGGTCACGGTCAAGTGCAAGAAGGATAACTCGGACATTGATGACACAAGCCTTGCTAACCATCTGCTGCGGTGTGGGGAAGGAGGGAACGTGGTACGGACACACAACGCCCTGGTATACACGGCCCCTAGAATGGCTAGGGAAGCGGGTTTCAACACTTTCCAAGAGACATCGGTGTTCTCACCCCCGGTCCTCCGCAAACGTGTGGACTTGGCATTCCAGGACAGGGAATCAGTGGAGATGTGGGTCACTGATGTCACAGTGACGGACCCGGTGCTCCAGAAGCAGGACACTAGGGTGCAGAAGCCGCCGGGGTGGGCAGCCAGGGAGGCCTCGGAGAAGAAGCATCACCTCTATGAGGGCCGCCCAGACTACGTTGGGTTCCTTGGGTTGGCGGTAGAGACCTACGGTGCCCTAGCGACACATACGGTCCAGTTCCTTCGGTTGCTGGTAGTGGCAACGGCCAAGAAGAAGTTCCGGCAGGGGCCACTTACCACAACGTCCTCCACGCTTAATGCACACTACCGACAGCGCTGGTCTGTCATGCTGCAGCGCTCCCAGGCCAACTCCTCAACAAATCCAACATGGCGGCAGAGGCGGCCTACCCACAAGCACCACTGGATCCCTGGGAGCCTAGCCTGGGGGACCTGTGGCAGGTGCTTGACGACGATCTTGCAGCAGTGTAGAAGCTAGGGGGTGGAAAGCAGAGGCGGCAGGTGCAATGGGACCCGGCACGAGAGGGAGTGAGACATAGCGGGTAGAGAAGTTTCTGGTGCCCTGATGGCAGTACATGGCAGCCCAAGCACTGATTACCCTTGGTCGGTAGTGATTGTGTAATTCGTCTGCTTGTTTGCTTGTCCGCCCATCAGGTTGCTTGCCTAGGCTAACCTACCAACTAACACCGAAACCTGCATGCCTGTACCCTATAAGCAACATAAATGCATGCCTCTCCAGCCCTCTCCAGCCTACTACATAGCCCTGTTTTGGGGCTCACTCTCCTCATTGTTCAGTTCTTTTTCATTTGCTTCTCCTAACCGAGCGGCTCGCGCCGGTCGCCGAAGGGAACGGCAAGAAACAGCACACAAAGTTGTCTATATTCAAAGGCATTACACGAATGGCAAAACCTACCGCGGCCAAGTCGTGAGCACTCATGGGGCAAGCGGAGCCCGCGTCTACATGCGGTGAGCTCCAAGGGCGTGAAGAACGCCCATCAGGGTGCGACACAGCTCCCGGACCACAAGCGTGCTTGCGCCAATTGCGGCGGCTCCAGAATCTGCGGGCAAGTCAAGCTGTCCCACAGCCGCAGCGCCACCCTCTGCGAGCGCAGCCAGCACGGGCGCCAGCAGCACTACAAGCTGCTCCGCCGCGTCCAAGCAAGTCTCACGCGGGCGGTCATGGAACGTCTCAGGAGGAATCACGGGGAGTGATGAGTGGGCAAGCACCCGTATCAGCAGCAACGCGTGAAGACTCTCCGCCAGGCGGTGGAGCTGGCCGAGAGTCGCCTCCGGTACACGTTGCGGGGATAACTACTACAACGGGAGCTAGACTACGGGCTAGGCACGGGTGCTCGTGTAACCTCTGCGTTCGTTGGTCCTTGGTCGTTTTCCTAGTGCACACACTGCTTGCTAGTTCACAGAGAGAATTGGCAAGAGTTTCACTAGAGAAAGTTGACAACAATGGTACAATGAAGTTGGCATGGCAAGACTACATCAGAGCTAGCATTCAGGTTGATCGACTGCCAGCACAGCATGGTCGATCGCGTTCCAGCACGACTTGGTCGACCGCGCTCCAGCAGTGCAAAGTCGACGGCGTGCCAACGTCGCAAGTTGACGGCGTGCCAGCATCACACCTACTTCGCAGGTGCTTGCACATGATTGGCGGGCTAAGCCTTGTCAGATGCACAACGCACATACCAAGTTCATCCTCGTGCTGACGACTCCACCTGATCCACCACGTCGACCTCGGGATACCACCACCGAGGTCGGACTCGCCAACTTTGCCTGGGCGACCGTCGCACTCCTCCGCAGAACCTCGTCACCCAAGTAACCTGGTCGACTGGGCAACCACGTCAACCAGCTGCTCCCATACGTGCCCGTCGACCTCCCAAGTCGACGACCACCCCTGGTCGACCAGCTCCAGGTCGACCACACCCCTGGTCGACCAGCTCCAGGTCGACGTCATTCCTGGTCGACCAGCTCCACGTCGACCAGCACTCCTGGTCGACCAGCTCCTCGTCGACCAGTTCAGTTTCAGCCGACCTCCCAAGTCGGCTACCCCAAGTCGGCGTCACCAAGTTGACGCCCTGCTACTCGACGCCCAACCGCTCGGCGTCCTGAGTCGAGGTCGAGGTCGGCCCCTCCTTCGTCGACCACCAGGCCAGGTCGACCACCGCAAGTCGACCAGCAGGTCTGGTCGACCAACCACTAGGTCGACCAGCAAAACTGTCAGCCGACCACCCAAGTCGGCTGCCCCAAGTTGACGTCATCAAGTTGACGTCCTCCGCAGGTCGACTTCCCAGGTCGACCTCCCTGAAGTCGGCGCCACCTGGAAGTCGGCGCCCGTGCAGTGGCCCCCGCGCAGGTGGACCTCCTCGTCAACCAGCTCGCCCAGTGCTGCAGGTCGGCTGCTCCCCTCACACCCGACCATGAAGTCGGCTCCGCCCAAGCGAGGACGGGGCCAACACACAACTCCCGTTGACACACGTGTCTGCAGAGGCTGAAGCGCCTCTGCCAGAAACTGAAGAGGCTCATCGGCAGCAAGAAAGGCCGATCCACCAGCAATGCGAGGAGAACACCGAGCCCCCACCGCTCCTTATCACACGGCCACTCCCGCAACAGGCGGAATCGGCGGCAGACGAAGACGCGATCCAGGAGCGGGTGTCGAGACAGCGGGAGCAGGATCCATTGGGGCGTGATCCTGGGGAGGGGGTGCAGAGGAGGGCGGTGAATGAAAGGGGAGCGCAGCCTGACGAGGAGCCTCATGGGCTGGCGAGGCGCGCATCAACCTAATCTGGCTCTGCGCCGCCCTCTCCTCACGCACTGCTCTCGACACCTCCTGCTGAAGATCCGCTATCGTCACGCGCGGGCAGTACGCCCCACCACCACCGCGCCCGCGGGGACCCCTCTAGTCCCCCTGACCACCGGGATGAGCAGGCCAATGAGATTGCTGGTGGTAGCACCGTGGAGAATCGCGCCGACGACGAGACGACGTGCGCTCCTGGTGGAGCACGGGGGAATGGGGGCGATACAGGCGGCCGTCCGGTGACACGGGGCATGACGGCTGACCTGCCGGGGCCATCAGCATCACAGCAGGCGCGGACTGGCCCGCTGCTGAGGGCGCAACCGATGGAGCCGGGCTGCCAGTGGTGGCGGACGCCGCCTTCGGTGACGAAGCAGAAGCCGGAGCAGGCACGCCGGGGACAGAAGCAGGCAGTGCAATGGGGGCGCCAGGGACAGGAACAGGGGGATCAGCAACATCCCCAGCAGGAGCAGACGCCGACGGCTCGACAAGGAGAGCCAGGGGACCAGGAGCAGCAGCCGGAGCGGACGAAACAACAACAGGGGCAGACGGACCAGCCTCTGACACGGCAAGGGGATCCGCAGGTGCGTGGGGAAGTCTTTTCAGCGACTGTTGTCATGGGTTTCGGAGCCGGCGGTACAGGGGGCTTCATCGCCATGGTTGCCTTTTCGGGCTCCGACGGAGGCTTGGCGACCACAGCCGCCCAGGCGGCAATGCGCACCGGCAATCACCATCTGGAAAACGGGGAAGTCGCGGAGCTATGAGGCAGGTTACTGGTGGGACAGGCGGAGGTCCGGAGAACGGGTATCAAGCAGCAGCACGAATGGCTTTAACAGCTCTGGATGCAACTAATGAGGAAGATGAGTTAAGGGACCCATCTTATAGGGAAGAATACCTCCCTCCTAGCGAAGATGGGGGGTCTGAGGAGGAAGGCAGGACGAGTGAGGCAGCGGGGAGAGGAGTAGCTAAGGTAGGACACTCGGCCTTGCAAGTACCACAGGTGGATCTTCGACCGTCCGATGTTGATCGAATGGGTGAAATTCCAACCCCAATTCCACTAGCGAGGACGAACCGCGCTCGACATAATCGAACCGCCACTGCCAATGTCGCGACGCACCAATCCACTCCGACTCCCCGCTATTTTTGGCCTGACGAGCTGGCAAGGCGAGCAGACCTGTTCGCAGCCATCGCGAACTGGGACATCGCATCACTCTGCGACAGTCAAGAGCCTTCGCTGTCACGACGTTTACCGCCAAACCTGTGCCAACTACTCTCGCTGGCGCTTCTGACACCATTACTCCACCTATCGCGAAACCCTGAATCCGAAACGAGATGGCGCCTGCTGCTGTTTCTCCCATGCCTAACACTTCGCCAAACCTCACCACAGCGACCGAACTGGCCAGGGGTCAAGGCCCGGCTCCGAGCCTTTCAGCGGGGCGAATGGGAGCAACTGTACCAGGATGCGGTGGACGCGGTCAACACACCCCCACCGCCACGACACCAGCCCGACGCGACTGGAGTCATCAGTCGAGCTGAGGGCCTGGCGAAACGTGGCAGTCTACGTCGAGCCGTGCTGGCCCTAGAGTCAACACCAGTCTCCATGCCCAGCCGGGAAATTTTGGAGGAGCTCCGCCAAAAGCACCCACCTGCTGTACACAAGCCAGTGACCTGGCCCGTGCCACCGGAGTCAAAGCTGTCTATCACTCACGCGGAGTTTGCCAAGATTCTGGGAAGATGCGAGAATGGAGTGGGGGCCGGACCATCGGGCACGACATTTGAGCACCTGCGCGACGCGGCGATCACCAACGCAATGGTCAGCACCCATCTGCACGCCTTAGTCAACACCATATTGGGAGGCAGCCTTCCAGGCCCGGTGGCGGACCTATTGACTGCTTCACGACTCATAGCCCAGGCCAAACCTGGGGGGGGTGCTCGACCAATCGCGATAGGCGAGTGCCTCACTCGGCTGACAGCCAAGGCGGCCCTCACAGCCATGGGAGAAGCTGCCCGCGATTTCTTCTTGCCACTACAATACGAGGTGGCAGTGCTAGGGGGAGCTAAGGGGGTTATCCACGCGGCGCGGGCATTTCTTGACAAATGACCTAACAGCCTGGTACTGCAGACCGACATCTCAAATGCATTTAACAGTATCTCACGATAGGCCATTGCGACAGCGTTACAGGAGCCTGGACTTTCGCCACTGCTACCGTTGGTAAAACTGACCCACGGTAACCCGTCGAAGCTGCATCTCGACACCAAATTCGAGTGCGAACCACTGATCAGTGAGCAGGGCGTTCGCCAGGGCGACCCACTGGGGTCGTTATTATTTGCAGCAGGAATACACCCTACGCTCTGCGACACCGCCGAAGCATACCCGGACGTGCTCTGTCTGGCCTACGCGGATGATGTCACTTTTCTTTGAAATCCAGCAGACACTGTAGCAGCGTTCACCCATTTCACTAGCTCAGCTGGGTCTGACACACAACCCGCAAAAATGCGCAGCCTGGAGAGTAGCCACAGTTGAGCAGGACCAGCTCCCGCCAGGGGTGCCTTTTTCCCAGGATGGCGTGCGGCTTCTGGGGAGTTTCGTTGGGCCGGATCAAGGGGCGGCAAGGTTCCTGTTGATTCAACTGCAAGAGATGGCAAAACCGCTACCCCTCCTTGAGAAAGCCAACCCCCAGGTAGCATCGCTGTTGCTTACCCGCTGCATTTCAAGGCGAGTGGTGTACCTCACCAGGACGACTCCCCTCTGCCTGCTGCCTCGTGATACCTGGAGCCAGTGGGGTATGGACCTACTTACGGCGTTACTGACTGCGTGTGACATACGCGTTCCTACGTGTCGTACCGAGCAAGCACACATTTGGGCGCAAGCGTCTCTTCCGCCCTCACTGGGGGGAATAGGCATCACCGACCCCTTAGTCGAAGGGGTGTACGGATACACGGCAAGCTTTATCCCGGCAGCGCTCTTCCTAGCATCACTTGAGACTTCTCCTGAGAGCGCGCTGACGCAGGCACGGGACCACATGCTACTGCCCCGGGACAACACCACGCCACTCCACACGTGGCTTACCGAATCTGAAGCTGCTTTACCTCTGGATGTGCGGGAAACCCTAGAGAAAGAACGGCTGGAGAGGTCAGACATTAGACTTCAACACGTATTAATGCTGAAAGTACACGGAAGTAGATATGCCATACAGGTTAAGGAAACAAGGCGAATGAAACCGAGCCCTTTATTCGGCCACACGCAGCGGATGTTCTCGCTGACAGGTTACGGAACTGGCGACTGGCTAATGGCTATCCCCATAACGGCAAACCGGAGGATAGGGTCTGTTCACTTTGCCAACGCAGTCCGTTTTTGGCTGGGCCTCCCATACTCAACGCCGAAGAATTGTGACTGCTCGGACCACACCGCTATCACGGACCCCCGCCTCCCAAACCACCTTTTCCGTTGTGGCACAGGCAAGCACCGCACCAACATCCTTAACGAGCTGCGGGATGCTTGTATCAGTATGGCACAGGATGCAAGGCTCATAGTTCACAGCGAGACAACGACATACTGTTTCATTGAGGAACAAACAACCGACTTCACCATGACGGACAGAAGCAGCGGGGCTGTCTATGTGTGCGACGTTACAATCACGAACCCAATCAGTACGCGAGATCCTGAGGCACAGAAGGGCAGGGGCTGGGCGGCGCGCGAGCAAGCTGACAAGAAGATCAAGCACTATGCTGCCCGGCCAGTGACAGTGAACTTCTTCCCACTTGCAGTGGAGACTTATGGCTGCCCCTGTGCAGAGGTGTTCAAGGCATTCGATGTCATCGTGACAGAGCTGGCAAAGCGTGGTCTTCGATGCAACGTAGCGAAGTCTTCGGCATGGGGACCACGGGAGGAAGATGAGGGACTTGCAGGGCCACCATACGGTTTGTCGATGAGCACGGAGGGGATCATGGTGCTATGCAGTCCTATCGGTACACCGGAGTACTGCACCACACAGGTTCAGCAGGCGCTCACCAAAGCAGCGGCACCGGTCCCCCTGATCGCGCAGCTGCACCCACAACACGCCTTGCTTCTACTCACCCGCAGCATCTCATACAGGATCTCTTACCTACTTCGCACCACTCCGAGTGGCACACTGGAACGGGAGGAGTGGAGGGCGTGGAGCGAGTCACTGCTCGGTGCAGCACTAACGGCAGCCAAGCTGAGGATCCCCTCGACCGAATTGGAGCAGAGCCTCCTCTGGTGATAAGCGACTCTGCAGGTCCGCCTGGGAGGATTGAGCATCATCAACCCTATCTCTGAGGCACCGGCGGCGTATATCGCCTCCCTCACAGCAGCGCATCACCTGTTACAGCAGATGAACTTGCGGGAATCGGAGTTGCTATCGCGGGCAGTAACCCTCTTGTCCAGGGAGTGGGTTCCCCCGCCTCCAACGACAAATGTGTTGGTGACGCTGGAGGAGGGATTGCCGGCAGAGGCACAGATAGCACTCCAGGCCTACAGGGCGGGCCCGGCAGGTCAGGGGAACTTGCAGCTGCTCCTGTCAAAGCACATCAACGTCACACGGGCACGGGAGCTGCTAGCCGACACTTTGGTTGACAAACCGGGGGAGGACCAGGGGCATGGGGTCAGGCTGGTTAGTCTGAAGGGAGTGGGGGCCGGGGATTGGCTTCACGCGGTGCCGACGAGATCTGACCTTACATTTGCCCCTTGTCAGTTCTTGTTAGCACTTGGTTTCCGCCTCGGGATGGCCCTACCAGTCACAGTCAAGTGCCCTTGTAAGCGCGACAACTCGGATATCGCGGATACCAGCCTAGCCAACCACCTACTCCGGTGTGGTGAGGGGGGGGATGTGGTGAGGACACACAATGCATTGGTCTACACGGCTCTGAGGTTCGCGAGAGAGGCAGGCTTCAACACCTTCCATGAGACGTCGGTTTTCTCTCCCCCCGTCCTTTGCAAGCATGCGGATTTAGCGTTCCAGGACAGGGAGTCGGCAGAGACTTGGATCATGGACGTCACAGTGACAGACCCGGTATTGCAGAAGCGAGACCCACGAGTACGTAAGCCGCCTGGGTGGGTGGCCAAGGAAGCTTCCAAGAAGAAACACCGCCTGTACGAAGGCCGGCCTGACTATGTGGGGTTTTTCGGGCTTGCAGTTGAGACCTACGAGGCGCTAGCGATGGACACAGTGCAGTTCCTTCGGCTGCTGGCCATGGCCACAGCGAGGAAGAAGTTCAGGCAGGGGCCACTCACTACCACAGCCTCCCGCCTCAATGCACACTACCGCCAACGCTGGTCAGTCATGCTGCATCGCTCCCAAGCAACCTCACTCCCCAACAAGAGCAATATGGCGGCCAAAGCGGCTTTCCCTTAAGCACCTATGGATCCCTAGGAGGTGAGCCTGGGGGACCTCTGGCAGGTGCTTGATGATGACCTTGCAGGGGTGTAGACACTGGGGGGTAGGGGGCTGAGGTAGCAGGTGTGGAGGAAGTGCGACAGGGCAGGAGAAGGAGTGGAACATAGATGGAGAGAGAGGCAACCATCTAGTGACGGGCTGTCCAGTATGCAAACGCAGTTCGCTTTAGGCTAGGCTTACCCTTCTTGATGCCGGCGAAATGTGACTGCACGGAGCACACGGCTATCCCGGACCCTCGTCTTCCTAATCACCTATTCCGCTGCAGCACGGGCAAGCACCGTATCAACACGCACAACGAATTGCGCGATGCATGCATTAGCTTGGCCCTGGATGCGGACTTCATTGTACATGGGGAGTCCTCCGAATACTGCCCGGTTGACTAACACACGGCAGATTTCACCATGCGCGACAAGAGCATCGGAGCGGTCTACGTCTGTGATGTAACAATCACTAACCCTATCAGCACCAGGGACCCACCATCAAGACACACGTCCAGAGTGCAACCATCCAGAGAGCCACCATGAGAGAGAGCGGCGTGACCATACGCCTGGATCAGGTGCACGGCCCGCAAGCCCTCAGCGAGGCGCCATAGCTGCCCGAGAGACGCCTCGGGGACTTCAGCCATGCGAGGAGGTCCCGCCAGCACCTGGAACGACAGCGCGTCACCAGCGGAAGGAACCTACGGCTGCTCCATGCGACTTGCGGGAGCAGGAGCAGATGCAACAGGAGCAGGGGGGGGGCGGAGCAACTGCCTGAGGAGGGGGCGCCCCAATAGGAACCCATGGCAGATTCACGCGACCCCCAGGAACGGCAGCAGATGCAGCTGGGGCAAGAGGAGGCGGAGCAACTGCCGAGAGAGAAGGAGCCGCCGCCACGGGAAGGGCGGCAGGAGGTGGAGCTGCAGGAGCCAGAGGAAGAAGCTGCGCGGCCCTCTCCTCGTGTATCGCCGCCGAGACGACATGCTGCACATCCGCCAACGATACCGGCTGAACATACGCCGGGCCACCGCCGTAACCGCAACCTCCCTCCCACCCGCCACGACTGCCGCGATGCCAGTTTGCCTGCGGAAGGTTACGACGGGGAGAGTCGCGGCGACGGCGCAACGACTCACACTTCTCGCGGGGCGCAGGAGAATGGGGGCGCGAGGAGCGATGGCCAGGTGACGGAGGGCCCCGCGGCTGCCTCACTGGCGCAACAACAGGCGCCGTCTGAACGGCCACAGCCTGTGCCACAACCGGTGCCTGGCCGCCAGTGGTGGCGGACACCGCCATCGGCGATGAAGCAACAGCCGCGGCAGGCGCAACAGGGTCAACAATGGCGGGTATTAAGACAGGGACCCCCGGGACAGGTGGAGCAGCAGCAGGATCTGCAGCAACAGCAGGCAATGCGCCAGGGTTTGCAGGGACAGCAGGATCAGCAGGTACAGGAGCCTCGACGGGAGCCCCGACTCCACAACAGGGGCAGACGGAATAGGCAGATGCGACGCTGGAGCCACGCTCGCCATGGGGCGTGGGTCTGGAGGCGGAGAGGCACCAGCAGCAGAGGGTGCTGGCTTCGGGGCAGGTAGGACTGGTGGCTTTAGCGCAGCAACCCCGGGGTAGACGCAAGCGGGGACCTTCCACTCACCGCTGACACAGCGGCAGCGTGCTTTGGCGATGGCCACGGCTCGCCAGCAATCACCATCGCAAGAGAGGAGAGGACGAGGAGCGGGACGGCAGGCAGGAGACGGGGTAGCAGGGGGTCCGGAGAACGCGTTCCAGTCTGTAGGGCGACGGGCTTTAACGCTACTTGATACTGAAAACTAGGAGCGAAACGACCCGTCTTATAGGGAGGAGCCACGTGAGGAAAGCAGCGGCAGCGATGGAGAAGGCGAGGATGAGGAGAGAGAGCAGTCGGGAAGAAGAAGTGGGAGGAATCAGAGGGGAGCAGCTGGGCAACTGAGAAACGGATGAGGGCCGCAGGATGGGGATCGTACGGTCACAATTCCAACCCTACCGCTCCCGAATCGCGGTCGCGCAAATCGGGCCGCAAGAGAAAACCAGACTACGGCCCGACAGGTTCAAAATGCATGCTACTACACGCCAGAAGAGCTGGCGAGGCAGGCAGACAAATTCGCAGAAGTGGCGACCTGGGAATTAGGGCCACTCTGCGACAGTTGCCAACCCCCCCTGTTACGGAGATTACCGCCAAATCTTTGTCAGCTCTTCTCGCTGGCCTTGCTGACGCCGCTACTGCACCTCTCGCGAATCCCCGATTCAGTAGCGGGTTGGCGGTTACTTCTATTTCTACCTCGCCTAACACTACACCAAGCCTCGCCGAGATGCCCAGATTGGTCAAAAATCAAAGCTCGCCTTCAAGCTTTCCAGTGCGGCGAATGGCAACAGCTCTACGCCGAAGCCACGGAGGCAGTCAATTCACCACCCCCGCCACGTCATAGGCCAGATGACACGGGAGTTATCAGCAGGGCAGAAGGTCTGGCCAAGAAGGGGAGCCTACGCCGAGCCATACTGGCGCTCGAGTCAACCCCAGTCTGCACCCCCAGCACGCAGATTTTGAGCGAACTCCGTCAGAAGCACCCACCTGCCGAGCCCGAGCCTCTGACCTGGCCGTCTCCCACCGAACCGCCAAACCTGGACATCCCATACGCGAAATTTGTGAATCTGCTCAGCCGATGCGAGAACGGGGTGGGGGCCGAACCAAGTGGAACGACATTCGAGCATCTTCGCGACGCGGCAGTAACAAATGCATCCGTCAGCACCCATCTACACGCCTTGGTTAACACCATTCCAAAGGGCAATCTGCCACATTCAGTAACCGACCTGCTCACGGCGTCACGCCTAATTGCCCTGGCCAAGCCAGGTGGCGGGGCTTGCCCAATCGCGATTGGAGAATGCCTGACACGGCTGGCCACAAAAGCAGCACTGACTGCCCTGGGCAAAGCGGCACGAAGCTACTTCCTACCCCTGCAGTACGGCGTGGCAGTACCAGGGGGCACTGAGGCAGTGATCCACAGTGCGCGAGCATACACCGACTCACACCCGAACTGCCTCATCCTCCAGACAGACATTTCCAACGCCTTCAATAGTATTTCTCGGCACGTAATAGTCACAGCGTTACAGGACCTGGCACTATCACGACTGTTGCCGCTAGTCAAACTGACATATGGCAGGCCATCGCTACTATAAAAAGGCAGGGGCTGGGCGGCTCGGGAACAGGCTGATAAGAAAATAAAACACTATGCCAACCGGCCAGAGACAGTGGGTTTTTCCCACTTGCGGTAGACACATATGGGTGTCCATGCACGGAGGTACCTGTCTTCCTAAAACTACTCGCGGATACTGCGGCTCGGCGGCATTTCAACGCCGACTCAAAATCCTTTTACGCCGCCAAGTTTCTGCACCTATTTCGGCAGCGCTGGTCAGTGGCCCTTCAGAGGGCCCAATCGATTGGTTTCCTTCTCAAGTTGGGCGAGGCGGCAGCAGCAGAGAACCCGCCCATATGAAGTATCGGTCAGGAGCTTCACCCGGGGGACTGTTTTGCGGTAGTTGAGCCCTACCTAGAGCTCTAGAGGAGGAAGTGGGTAGGTAGCGTTATGTTGCCGTTGCTGTTTTGTTCTAGAATCTCTAATTCCTGCATGTATGTACTTTGCAACTCTATCAATACAAGGACCATTAGAGAGAGAGAGAGAGAGATAGAGAGAGAGAGAGAGAGAGAGAGAGAGAGAGAGAGAGAGAGAGAGAGAGAGAGAGAGGCAACCATCTGCTCTGAGAGCTAGGTGTGTTTAGGCTGGATAGGCTTGCTCTATTTGCTTGTTTAGTTCTGATTCCCTGGCTGCTTCCATTCCGGCTTGGGTTACAGGAATCACAGACTTCGAACTGGTTGTCTCGCTGGACGATCACGCACAATTTCGAGCCCCAAATACTTCTCGACCGGGCTGATCTCGCGCAGCTCAAAAGCTGCCTCTAGAAGCTCCTTCAGCTCCTTCAGCATCGCGGTGCCGCTGTTGGCGGCGAGCAGGTCGTCGACGTAGACGAGCACCCAGCACGCCACTCGTCGTCGCCAACCCTGAAATAGAGAGCCTCGTCCACCTGGCTCTTGCTCCAGCCGGCGCCCGTCAGTACAGTGTCGAGCGCCGAGTACCACAACTGAGGATTCTGCTTCAGCCCATACAAGCTCTTCAGCAGCTTGCATACGCGGACAGTGCCATCGTTGTAGTAAGCCGGTTGGTCCATGTAGAGCACGTGGTCGAGCTTGCTCTGCAGAAAAGCATTCTTCATGTCCAGCTGCATGAGGTGCAGATCAAGAACGGCGACGATGCTGAGAAAAATCCGCAGCGTGGCGTAGCTCCCGACCGGTGCGTACGTCTCGTCGTAATCAGCTCCGTAGATCTGCGTCAAGCCTTTCACCACCAGGCGCGCTTTTTCGCGGGCGACCGTGTCATCGACATGGTATTTCGTCATCAGAACCCAGCGGTTCTTCATGACATTGACGCCGCGCGGGCGCTCCACCAACTCCCATGTGCCGTTGGAGATGAGACTTCGAATTTCCTCGTTCATCGCCGCTTTCACCGCCTTGCCCTTCCAGCTCGTAATGCCTCCTTCACTGTCATGTTAGCGATGTCCATGCGGTGCTCTGGGTCGGCGTGCATATCGGGGTCGAGTTCGGGCAAATCGAACAGCGGCGGACTGCGCATAGTCGACGACAGCGAGCAGCAAAGTCGACAAGCTCAGCAACTAAGGCAGACGCAGCAGTGGACCCAAAGGAAGGGTCAGTGACAGCAGTGGCCAGGAGACGCGTGACAGTAGGACTAGCAGCACGAAGAGAGTCAGAGTCAGGGTCCGTACCGTCAGCAAGGGAGGACGCAGGGGGAGACGGTAGACGGACACGCTGTGGAGCAGTGGACAGACAAAGTGCCATCTGGTGCGTGCCGGGGACAGGAGGAGGACGTGGACGCGGAACACGACGCCTAGCATGAGCAGTGCGAACGGGCGACGCAGGTCGAGACGCAGGCTCACGATGCTCAGCAAGACCTCCGGTCGGACCAGTGTAAGGAGAAGGAGCATGTAGTGGGGAGGCGGGCTGTAACTGCGACTGTGACTGGACAGGCGGTAGACACTCTAAGGAGGGAGCAGGACTAGCAGAAGGCGGGAGACTAAGAACCTGCTGAAGGAGCGGAACGAAGTACGGCCGTGGCCGCGCAGCGCCTCCAGAACTAGTAGAGACAGCACCAGCACCCCTAGCGGCAGCTCCAACTCCTGCAGCACCACCAGGAGCTCCAGCAGCTCCAACTCCAGGACCTCCAGGAGCACCAGCTCCAACAGCACCGCCAGCTCCAGCACCTCCGGCAGGACCAACGCCAGCGCCTCCAGCTCCAGCTCCTGCAGCACCAATAGCTCCAGCACCAGCAGCAGCACCAGAAGGACCAGCTCCAGCGCCTCCTGCTGCAGCCCCAGCAGTACCTCCAGCAGCTCCCGCTCCAACAGCACCAGCACGTCCAGCAGCTCCAGTAGTACCTCCAGCCCCAGCAGCTCCAGTAGTACCTCCAGCCCCAGCAGCTCCAGTACCACCAGTACGAGCACCTCCAGGACCAGTGGCTCCAGCACCTCCAGTGCCAACCCCAGGGTCGGCAGCAACACCAGCACCAGTAGCTCCAGCGCCCTCAGCTCCAGCTCCGGCAGCACCCCCAGCTCCCACAGCACCACGGCGGTGGCGGCAGAGCTGAGAGTACCACTCACGCAACTGCTCTGAAGAGAGAGTGCCCCCAGGCGCAGTACGGTCAGTCGCAGCACCCCCAGGCTCAGTACCTCTAGGCTCAGCACCCCCAGGCTCAGCACCCCCAGGCTCAGCACCCCCAGTCTCAGCACCCCCAGGCTCAGCACCTCCAAGCTCAGCACCCCCAGTCTCAGCACTCCCAAGCTCAGCACCCCCAGTCTCAGCACCTCCAGGCGCAGCACGTTCAGGCTCAGTACCTCGCGCAGGACCAGAGTCGACAACTACATCGACAGGCTTGACCGATTCTACTTGGGAAACACCTGAAGGAGCAGGACCCTGGGGAGGGAGGGGGTCTACCGACGCAGCACCTGGCATGAGGAAGAGCGGCGGAGGGGGGAGCGGGGCAGTGCGGTAGGGGAAGAGACGGTAAAAGGGGACGGACTCGTCAAACGTGACGTCCTGAGAGGGCAGAACACGGCGCGAGGTGGGGTGGTAAAACTGCCAGCTAGGCGCGTCAGGGACAAAGCCAAGGAAGACACAAGGAACGGCGCGGGAGGAGAGCTTGTTCGCGGACGTATCGTGGACAAAGGCACGAGATCCCCTGATCCGGAACACCGACGCATCGTCAACCTCTCCTGTCCAACGTAGTGTCGGCGAGGTCTCCGGAACGGAGACACGGGGCCAGAGGTTGAGCTGATGCGCGGCGTACCGGACCGCAAACGGCCACAGAAAATGGGGGGCAGCCGCATGGATCAAGGAGGTACGAGAAACCTCCATGACGAAGCCAATGCGGCGCTCAGCAACCCCATTCTGCTGCAGAGAGGCCGGAAGCATGAACGTCTGCTCAATGCCCTCCCCCTGACAGAAGGCTCTCAAGAGGTTGGAGGAA